AATAATAAAAAATAAAAAATATTTTTTAGTTGTATATTAATTAAACTTTTTTATAATTAATATTTAAAATTTAAGTCATCAATCAAAAAGTTGGCCCCGTTACTTAATTTTCTAATTCCACCCTCGATGTTGCCCATGCATGATTAAAGGTGTCATATTTCTACCCTGGAAACGCCCGTATTCGAAATCAAATAAGCATTTTGTATCCTTTGACTTCTGGGGCTCAAAGTCGAAAACATAAGCACCAAATATATGTCTCGATCGGAATTTCTGCCAATTTCATTCGCCAATTTATTTATTTTTTGACAAGTAAATAATTAAAAAATTAATATGAGTTAATAGTTAGCAACTGAAATCTTTCAAATCAGGTGAACATTCCTCCTCTCAAATGAAACGCGCGATCATCAAATCGCTTTTTAATGGAGTTCATAATGATGGTAGAGTTTGAAATTCTAACCACCGTCTCACCTAAACACTAAGATTTGGGGACAAACCATTGGGTCAAGACCTGTTTCATTTTTCACCAAATTATAGTATACATTTAGACTTCATTTAGGCGTAGTTGTAATTTTTTTATTTTTATAAAATTTTTATTATTGTAAATCAAAATTAAAAATTAAAAAAATCATTGATACTTATTTTGATTCAATATATTACATAATATATTTATTAAAAAATTATTTTTTTTTAATTTAAAATTAAATATAAAAAAACTTAAAATATAATCATGCATATGTAAAATTATTGAATTAATTATATTTATATTATATTTTAACAATTAAATCATATGAATATCAAAAAATATGTTAAATCAAAAAATGTATTAATTATTTTATAAATTAAAAACTAACAATTTGTTTAATAATAAATTTTAATACTAAAAATTAAAAATATGACTTTATTTAATAATATTAAAATTATTTCGATTCTCATTACTTTAATAATCATAGTAAGATGTTGTAAAAACATATAAACGTAAATGAGTTTTTGTTTAGCATAGTAAAATATATAAAATTTAAAATTAATAACTAAAAACCACAATAATACTAAATAAAAATTTAATTTCAAATTCTCCAATAATTTAAAAAATAGGGAACCTTTTCTTATTAATAAATTCTTAGTTCGGTTTTACCCTAGGGCTAGTGCCATTGGTTCACTAACTCGTTGGCGGCCCACCCAATTCCAAAGCAACAGATTTAGGATCCGGGTTTTGCTTAATTATTCAATTCTGGCTTCTCTTCTGGTCCCTGGGCCTATGGTGTCATGACCTTGTGCTCCAGTTCAACCCATGGAAGGACATCGGCTACCCTTAAAACATAGAAGGGTTATTTATCAGGCCCAACTGGAGGAACGGGGCTTGCTCAGCCTAAATCAGAGAGGCTAGGCCTCAAACTTAAATTATAAGGGCCGCCATACACACGAACATTGCCAAGTTGCAAGATGGTATAAATAAATTTTTTCTTTTTCTTTGTTTTATGTAAAAGGTTTAAAGAAACATAAGCATGATGTATATTTAGTAGGCTATGTGTAAATTACATGTTAAAACTGTCACATTGAAGTAAATTACAATTTTAAAAAAATTATTGATGTAATTTGCCATCTCAATTTTTCATTTTCAAGAAATTAATCCAAATTTAACAATTCCTATTAAACTATTGCCCTTTAAATCTAACAGAAAATTAATAATAACTATTAAATTTGGACTGATTTTTTGAAATGAAAATTTGAGATAACAAATTGCATCAACATTCTTTTTGGATGACAATTATTTGCTTCAACCCAACAATTTTAGGGGGGAATTTGCACCTTTTGCCTATATGGTATGATAATCCTATTTTGCTCAAATGGAGATGATTTCCATTTTTGAAATATGATATGAATTATAATTATGAGTGTCTTGTTTTACAATTTAAATTATTTCAAATTGTAAAATAAAACTTATTGAATGGAAAAAGACCCTAAATATTAAGGAACTTACTCCCCATTAAATGGTAAATGTTGTGTAATTTGATACAGTTTAGTAATTTGATACAGTTTATATTGTACAACACTTTTTCTTATTATAAATATCTATAGAGATTAGCGTATATCAATTACAACTCTAAAAATAATAAGAGTTCCAACCTACATCTTGAAACTAAAAATTTGTCTTATTAAATGTTGATATATAAATTTGGAAATTCATTGTATATTATAATATTAACATTTAATAAAATAATTTTTTAAATTTTAAAATGAGTTTTAATTAAATAAAATGACGTTATTTAAGGTTGTGACTCTAATTATTTTTTGGAGTCACGACTGGCATGCACTTTTCACATATATTTATGCTTTTTTCTTATAATTATATTATCTCTATATTAAAATAACTATTGTTTTTAGACTTTTTTTTTGAATTAAAAATTTAGAAACAATTGATGTGTTTACATATAATACCTTTAAAAAATAAATAAAAGATAGTGAGTGGTTTTTTGTGATTGAATAATTAATTATAATAAATAAATAACAATAAAGTTAAAATAAAAATATTTATTTACCTTAAAAAATAATAATTAATTTTAAAAAAAAATTCAAAGTTGAAAATGACAATTAGGGAAAAAGGGGGTTATAATAACTATTAATTAAAAAAATTCGGACAAGTTTGATTGATATGTTGCTTAACACATTCATATTAACCAGCTACAGCCTCCTAACAGTTCCGTGGGAATGATTTCTTTGGATGGAAGGGAATCCTGGTACTTGTCTATTTCCCAATGGAATCACTTTCACCCTTTTTTCTTAAAAAAAGGCATAAAAGGCATTTGCTTTCTAATAATGCTCTTAAAATGAAAATTAAATCCCAAGAAAGAGATTGATGAAGACATTGTGCCATGCTGAAATAGATTATTAGCTAATTAATAGCTATATACCAACACAATCTATTTATTTTTGTTCTTGGTGGTGGGCTTTATATGTCATGTGTCACGGATGATATGGAAACAAAATATGCTACAAATCTAAAGAAGCCGTATTCCATGCCCACTTATTAGGGCAAGGAACTTGTGATGATGGCCACTAGCTCCAAAAAGAATCTTGTGAAGATTGGGATTTGATTTTGTGCCACTAGTTGAAGGTTAAAGTGCAGTCATATATATTGGGTGGGGGGGAATCCCATGCTTGTGGTGCTTCTCTTCCCAATTCCAATTTAGTCATATATTAAGAAAGGGGCACATATCCTTGGCATTAAATTTTTATGATACTCTTCCATCTATTTCAAAACCAAACCAAACATGACCTCCATCCAATCAATATATACACTGATGATAACACCCGGGGTGAAATATGAGTAGAAGCTAGACAAATTAATGAACATCCTCAGAAACACAACATTGAGTCATTGAGTGTGGGCTATTAAACAAAATTATGTGTCCCATTCCGATGATGCTTCCAAGAAAAATGTATGAAACTATGAATGGACGATGAAGATTTAGTGCTACAATTTAAATTGTTTATGGACAAATATAAAAAGTCAAAAAAATATTTTGATTAAAAGATAATTTTTTAATAAAAAAGTGTAGTTTAATTCATATCATATTAAATTATTAAATAAGAGTTAAATCTCTTAATATTAAAAATTTTTATTCAATTAATGATTCATATTTTACAATTTAATACAGTTTAAATTATAAAACAATATTTTTATTTCTCATATTGTCTTTTTATACAATCTTGTAAGGCTCTTTTTATTTTATTAAGATATATAATATTATTATATATATTTAGATAATAATATATAAAACATTATGGAGGACTCCAGAGGGATTTAATAAGATAGATGATGTTTCAAAAAATGCTGGGTACCCAATCTTGGTTTCTCCATTAACCATCATCTGTAACGAGACAACTTGAATTACAGAGCAACAGATTACCATCCTAAACCATATCATGTTTGGATAAGGATCGTGGTAATTTTCTAATCAAATTCTGAAAATAAGAGATAATCTCTTTTTTGTTTTCCCAAAACGTTCTTTGTCTATCCTAAAATTTGAAGATTCTTCCGTAAAAGCCCCAAGATTGACCAGCAAAAAATTTACCGTATCAAAGTCAATTTTACTTTCCACCAAAAAAAAGAAAGAGTCAATTTTACTGAAATTTAAAAAAAAAAAAAAAAAACTGATCGTCCAGCTGAATGGTACGGACACAATTGTTTAACCAGACGTGCATAGAAGGTGCGTGCAACCACATTCCGTGGCAAACTTAAAAATATGTTTCCTTGAAAAATCTAACAAAATTTTTTTTATACCAATGTGATGGAAACATAGCACTCAAAGTTAAATCTATTTATATATAATTTATATATATTATTTATATAAATTTTTAATAATTTATTTTTGGTTATGAATTATTAAGATTTATTTATATCTATTTTTTTTTTAAAATAATTATTTTTTATTTAAAAAAATTAATTCATGATCATTTATAATAAAAACATAAATTATTCAATTTTTGTATAAATAATATATGTAAAATTTGTGTATAAATCCATGCTAACTCCAGCACTCTCATATCCCCTATTATTTTGAGTAAACAACATTAATTTCACATTAAATTTTTTACATAGTTGTTTACAATTTCACTACCCTCATCCATAAAATGTGATTCTGTGTTTGTTCTAGTACCTTATATTTTAAGTTTAAATTTACATACATAATTAGTGAAATTTTATATTGATTTTTATCTTATTTATAATTTTATTTAATATGTAATATACTAATTTAATTATTGTACAACATGCATTATAATTATAAAAATTTTATAACTATAGAAAGAAAATTTCGCAGAAGTTTCATTGATATATTGCTTAAAAGTTAAAACATTTCCCACAGCCTCCTTGACTTAGGAGAAACAGTTCCCAATTTCATGGAGACAAAATCTCCATAAAAATGGAGAGTTCCTTACACGCGCTCAAACCGCGTTTACGCAAGCTTCTCATCTCCCCCTTGTTTCTTACACCTGATCAAAATTCACCTAACTGAATTCCGGCTGTCAGAAAAACAGATGTCAACACTAGGACAGACCACAAATATAAGAACAAACAACTCAAAGCCTCGAAATCCTCTTCAACAACTCCATGGAGGGTACCTAGAAAAACAACTAGGAAGAATCAACCAGGAGCTCTGAGGCAGAAGGTTAAGAAAAATGGATAACGTTCTCAGTGATGAATTGTTGCGAGAAATCTTCACCAGATTGCCGGCATCCCCATCGGCGTCGTTGTCGGTTTCTTTGGTGTGCAAGCGGTGGCTCCATCTTTACCGGACCTCCAAAACCTCTCTGTCTCTCCGCTTCTCCCCTCAGAGTTCCGCGGCTCCGTCTTTGGCCGCTCTCCTCGCTCAATATCCTTTTCTCTCTACTCTCTCTGTTCTCCTCTCTGATAAGAACAGCAGCACCGCCGCCGTCAACGACGTGGGTTCCGCTTTCTTTGATCATCTTCTGTTTGTCATCTCCTCTTCTTGTTCCAAGCTTAAGCAGCTCAGGTTCTTGGTGGGTCCGGTCTCTCTGTTTTCTTTGATTGCTCTGTCGAGAACGTGTACTCATATCACCTCTCTCACTGTTTCTCTTTCTCGGCCCCTTCTTTTCAATTGGGTCGCTTTCTTTTCTTGTTTGAAGGATTTGTCTGTGATTGTGTGTTCTAAAGATGGTGTTGATGGTGAATTTGATCGTAGTATTGAATATGGGGTTCCTCTTAATGAGGAATTGGATGCAGAATTGGGTCTGGAGACTTTATGTCTAACAGGTGTTCGATCAGATGATCGGGCTGTTGGTTGGCTATGGAGGAGCTGTAGAAGGCTCAGGAAACTCCAACTCAAAAGCTGTGAAAGCGTTGGCGATGGAGGGTCTTTTTCATCATTTGTTAATTGTGTACAGGGTCTGCAGGAGGTAGAGCTTAGAAAATGCAGGAGTATAGTTGATGGGGTTTTATTGAAATTGTCAGAGAATTGTGATTCTTTAAATTCCCTTCTTGTTTATGATGGTGGTAGCAGGGAGGGTTTGCTCGAATTCATAAGCAATTGCAGGTGTAATATGCAAAAACTCGATCTCCGATTGCCTCTAGACCTCACCAATGATCACCTCATAGCGATTGCAGCCAATTTTAGGGGTCTCTCAACTTTGAGGCTCCAAAGCTGTTGTCTTGTTACTGGTGAGGGTCTGAAGACTCTTGGGATTGCCTTGGGTTCTAGTCTTGAAGAATTGGCAATGATAAATTGTGATGTTGTCGAAAGAGAACCAGGCTTGCTCGCCACTTTAGGACAGAATTTGAGGACGTTGAAGAAATTGGATTTGTCTTACAATGAAATGCTGCTTGACAAGGAGTTTGTTTCTATGCTGGCATCTTGTAATAATTTGACAGAATTGAAGTTAAGAGGGTGCAGATGGCTCACTGGGGCTGCTATGTTATCTATGTCTAAAAGCTGCAAGCAATTAAAGAGTATTGACATTATGAATTGTTGCAGTATTGGGGCTAAGGCTGTTGAGTTGTTTCTCCAGAACTCACCGCGTTTGAAACAGATTCATGTTGACGAAAGCAAGCTTTCTGATGCTGCAAGAACATGGCTGTCGCATAAATTTGTGGAGGTCATTGTTTGTTGATGAGTTGACAATTGAAGTTTACTCATAATTTATTGAAGTTATTGAACTTTCAACAAAATCATAAAATAAAGGAACAGAAAATTTCACAGAAATTGTTCTGCATTCATTGTAAATACGTTTCTGTTGTTTATGTTCTGAATAAATGTACATAGAAATGTGATGGCCAAAAGAAAATGTACATAGAAATGTTTGATATCTCAATAAGACAACCATGTTTAAAATTCAGATCCTTTTCTTCTATTTGGGAATTGAAGCAGTGAATTTTATTCTTACTTGGGTGTGTTGTTTTAGTATCTCTCTAGATCATTTCGTATCTATCATACACATAAATTGTTGAAGAGTTCATTCCTAAAGAAAGGGAGAAGAAATGAGTGTATCGACCATGATTGCTGTTTTATCTTGCTTTCCTTTTCTTGGTGTTATAATGTCGATTATCAACATTAAATATAGGTGAAAAACAAACATTTTACGCATTAGTTTTTCTCCCAACAAATTGTAACCAACAGTCCTCTTTTTCCCTTGTCCACTGAGCAACTTTACTGCAGGAACTCCTGAAAATGATTAGTTTAATTCAATAGAGAATTACTATCCAATTATCAACAAGCATTTTGCAGCACATATTTTTTGTGTGAAGTTAGGTTCGGATATCTTGTCATGAGATGAGCACAGCATAACGAAGGAAAATTAATTGGGATGATTCTCCTGTGCTTCTTGGCCTCAAGAGTTTCAAGAATTTCAGTATGGTCCTAAGTCCATTATACTTAGATGAGTTATTTTTCCCTTTTTTGGGATACCCGTGAGTAATTAGGTTTGCCAGCAAAGAATCACAGTATCTGTATTAAAGAGAGGAAAAGAATCAGCTTTAGCCGGCAATTAGGTATGCAAAATGATTGGCAACCTTTGTAAGTCTTGTATCTTTCATACAATAAATTTATTGTAAAAGCTTGATAGAATAGAAGTAAACCAGTCAAGGCATAATGAATAAAACAGATACCAGGACCACCTAGCTATCTACAAGTCCATTTGTTGTATGCAGAAGTTTATGATACTCTAGAGTTGAAGTTTGATTCTCTTTTAAATACTGCAAACAAGAAGCCTAGTTAGGTTTCCCTACCATTTCGAGGTAGACATAGAATTTGAATTCAGCAACTTATGTAAGAGATATCAGCAAGCTTCCCTTGATCCTTTTTATGCCTTCCTGGGACCAGGGGCTTCTGCTTACCCATGAGGAGTTTTGGGGCTTATATATTGAAGGTTATGATGTTAAATCTCAATGAATTTTTTAATGCTAATATGGTTAAAGAATTTGCAGTGTGTTGAAACTATTAAGCCTTCTGTTTGACCATCAGATGCATTTCCTGTTTTCTGTTGTTAATGTTGCTTGAATAGTAGGTTGTGGGATTTGTATACTTTCTTAAAGCCTTCACTCAGCTTTTCTGTCATCTACCTAAATTTGGACTCTCTTTAATTCAAAGTTATGTCTCGTCTGGCACTAGCGCCGTCCCAAAATCTGTTTCCATCATATTTTTTGATTTAACACTTATTTGCTTAAAAATAAATTATTCATGTTACAATTATGAAATTTATTAAAAATTGCATTTTTGTAGTGTTATTAGAGAATAATAATAATAATAAAATAATGATAAATTAATAAAATTATTCTAGATTCCCTCTTTTCTTTGGTTTTGAGATTTCTCCTTCAAATGGTGAGAAGTAATTTCTCCTTCAAATCCTAACCATAAAATGTATGCTTCAAGTTCGTCAACAAAAGAAAAAAAAAAGGGATGTTTCAAAAAAATACACCGGCTCGGGTTTAGGCTGGCTGACCAGTACTGGGGCCTTGAGGCTAGCCCAATTAAAGCCTCCCCCCCTAATTCCTATTGCCAGGAAGGTCTGAGATGAGTATGGGCTTTTTGAGCTCGTTTGTGGGTCCAAAATGCCTGAATGCTGGTTGGATATTTGGATCCCATTATGGTTGTACATGGGCCTTCTGTTGCCTACCTTCATTTTTTACTATTCTTTCCACTTCTTCTTCTTCTTCTTCTTCTTCTTCTTCTTTGTAAGACAAAAGACCTACAATCTAATTCTGCCCTTAACTAAAAATGTTGCATTTGAATATAAAAAAAATTACATTTTATTACTACTAATCCTATTAAACTGCAAAATTTTTACATTTCTAAATGGTTTTATTCAACTTCATATTTAAAAATTAATTTATTGATTTCGGAGTTTAATATTGTTGTAAAATATTTTAAAAGCAAAATTGTATACAATTTTCCAAGTTTTTGACAACCAACAACTAAATTAAATAAGCTTTTTATAAGCAATTTTCATTTTAAGAAAAAACCTAGAATTTAATAAATTAATATATTTTGTTGTGCCTAAAAATTAATATATTATCTTAATTATTCTTAATAGTATCGGTGATCACTGTTTAAGGTCCCAAAAGTCTAAAATTCCAATTTCCATATGACAAATCAAACATCCTCGATCAACTAAAATTCCAACCAAAAGGGCAAAAAATCATTTCCATTAACAAGGTCAAAATACGCGAAGACAAAATCAAAGTCGAAACTTCTAAAACTTGACCAAGTTGACAGGCGTAATTATTGTTATTCAAAAAAATGTTATGATCATCTAAATATATTTTTTTTAATAATTAATTTTGATATTTAAATATTTTAGTTTGTTTATTAATTTTAATATATTAATTAATAAATATTAATTATTCTCATAATTATAAGTTAATAATAATTATTAATTATTTTTAATAATTAAATAAAATAAAATAAATATTTTTAATATATATATATAAAAAAAAAAAGTAATCTCGACATTACTTCCTTGATCAACCTGAAAATCCATCATCTATGGGACCCACTGTTACCCCTCCAACGGCGAGGATTCAATCCGGGGGCGGGGCCTACTGCCGAAACAACAGAAAGACGCAGGCAGCCGTCACAGCCCCGCTTTTCCCGGGAGAAATAACATTTGGCGGGAACGAAGCCCCCGTAGATTTTCATAATCAATCCACAGGGGTTTTTATTTTTCCCGCCAAAAAACATACGGGCAGTACGGGCAGGCAGGCCCAAAAGAATCAATCAGGGCCGGCCAGCGAAGAGCCCGGGGCAGGCTAAAATCAAAACCGCGTAAAAGAAAGTCAGCTTGGGGGCCAAGCCAAGCAATGCCAAAAAAAAAAAAAGGAGCGAAACTCGATGATTGGTCTGTCACAACAGTACAGTATGAGTACCCACCTTTTCAATTCCATTTTATTTCTTCTTTTTTTTTTTTTCATTTTATTTTGAAACATAATTATTCCCTCAATTTCAGAATCTTTTTCCTCATAGGATTCCTCAGTGTGCCCATGTGTGCATGTTCAACTTTTTTTTCACTGCATTGGATTCCTTCTTTCTACATTAATAGACTCAATTATAATCCCTAGTACCTTGTAATGTGTGTATTTTTTCCGCAAAGAAAGTCAATCATGTCGAAGATATTTGGGTAATTTTCTTAATGGGATGTGAAGAAAAAATGAAAGGAAAAACAGGGTGCCAGTGACTCTCTCTCATGCCCTCCTTATGTTATTAATGGTATGTGACATTGTCCAATCTTAAAGAAAAATGTTTGAAATAGAGCGTTCACCATATGGATTTAAGATTTGAGAATTCATCATGACATAATTAGGTCAATCCTTAGAATACTAGTATGGAGGTAAACCAAACTAGCTTTTAGTGATGCTTGCTTGTTGCTGCTGTTATTATATATATATATATAT